AATGTCGCAGTGTACATGGGGGTGCAGAGCTCTCTTTTAAGCCCCTTTTTCATTTATTTTGGATATATACTCAGAGGTGACATTGCTGGTCACACGGTAGTTCTATTTCAAATTTTTTGAGGACCTGCCATGTTGTTTCCCATAGTGGCTGCACCATTTACAACCCCGCCAACTGGTTTCCCTTTTCTCCACATCCTTGCCAACACTGCTTCTCTCTTATCTCTTTGATAACAGCCATCCCAACAGGTGTGAGGTCATGTCTCGTTGTGGTTTTGATTTGCATTTTCCTGATGATTAGCGACAAGCACCTTTTCATGTACTTATTGGCCATTGTATGTCTTCTATGGAAAATGTCTATTCAGTTTCTCTGCTCATTTTTAAATGAGATATTTTTACACTATGGAGTTGTATGATTTCTTAATATATTAATTAAGAGTTAATATAATTAAGAGTTAATATATTTGGATATTAACTCTTCATCAGATCTACAATTCGTAACTATGTCCTTCCATTCTATAGGATGCCTTTTCATTTTTCGATGGTTTCCTTTGTTGTGCAGAAGCTTTTTGTTTAATGTAGTCTCACTTGTTTATTTTTGCTTTTGCTGCCTTTGCTCTTTGTGTCCAATCCAAAACATCATCGCCAAGACCCACGTCAAGGAGTTTACTGCCTATGTTCTCTTCTAAGAGTTTTATGCTTTCAGGCCTTACGTTCAAGCCTTCCATTCATGTTGAGTTAATTTTTGTTTCTGGTGAAAGATAGTGGTCCACTTTCATTCTTCGGTTTGTGTTGTGCAGTTTTCCCAACATCGTTTATTGCAGAGACTGTCCTTTTCCCATTGTATATTCTCGGATCCTTTGTTGTAAATTAATTGGCCAAATATGCGTGGGTTTATTTCTTGGCTCTCTATTCTGTTCCATCGATCTGTTTGTCTGCCAGTGCCATACTGTCTTGATTACTACAGCTTTATAATATAGTTTGAAATCAGGGAGCATAATGCTTCCACCTTCTTTTTTTTCTCAAGATTGCTTTGGCTCTTCGGGGTATGAATAATTGTTTTATAAAGGAGATTTTAAAATCAAGTAGAAATAGGACGCTATCGCTTTCGTTCCATTGTTTTTGCCTACACTTTGTTACTTTTCGCAATGGAAGTCAACATGTTTTCAGTGAGTGAAATGATTTTGCCACAAGCCTATGACCCCTAGATTAACACCCCAATTTGCTTTGTAAGCTCACTGTACTTTTTGGAAACAATATCCAATAATTAGACACAGCCCTCCTTCAAAACTCGCAAACTAGACCATGTCTGAATTCCTCATTTACTTGTCAAATGAGTTCTAAAAATAATAAAGGTAGCTAACCATCATGGTCAGAAAAGATGCTCGTTATCATTTCAATCTTCCTCAACTTATTAAGACTTGTTTTGTGGCTCACCTATGATCTATCATAGAGAATGCTCCATCTGCACTTCAGAAGAATGTGTATTCTGCTGCTGTGGGACGAAATGTTCTGTAAATGTTTGTTAAATCCATCTGGTCTAACGTGTAGCTTAAGTCCAATATTTCCTCATTAGTTTTCTGTCTGGATGATTTATTCATGGTTGAAAGTGGGGTATTAAAGTCCCCGACTGTTATTAGATTGCTATCTCTTTCTCTCTTTAGGTCTGTTAATACTTGCTTTGTACATCTAGGTGCTCTTATGTTGGGTGCATAATATTTACAAATGTTATGTCCTCTTGCTGGATTGACCCCTTTATCATTCCATAACGACCCTCTTTGTCCCTTATTACAGTATTGGGCTTATAGTCTGTCAGCATAACTATCCCAACTTACTTTTGGTTTCCATTTGTGTAATATCTAACCCTTCGCCATCAGTCTGTGTGTGTCCTCGAAACCGAAGTGAGTCTCTTACAGGCAGCATAGTTGGGTCTTTAAAAAAAAATAAAATTCATTCGGCCACTCTACAGCTTTCAGAGAATTTAGTCCATTTACATTTAAATAATTGAGAGATATGGACTTACTATCATCGCCATTTTGTTCACTGCTTTCTGGCTGTTTCGTAATTACTTTCTGTCTCCTCTCTTGCTGTCTTCCTTGTTTTCCATGTCCCAATTTATCTCTTTTTACCCATGACTTAATTATTGTAATTATAATTATTTTTAATGCTTTGTTATTTAACCTTCGTGCTAAATTTATAAGGGACTTACCCACCACCATTATAACATTAGAGTATTCTGAATTTAACTGTATATTTCCCTTTACCAATGAGATTTATAATCTCGGATGTTTTCCTGTTACTAATTAGCATCCTTTTATTTAAGCTTGGAGAAGTCCCTTTGACATTTCAAGGCCTATCTAGGGGTGCTGAATTCCTTTAGCATTTGTCTGTCTAGAAAACTCCCCTGTTTCCTTCGGTTCTGAAGAACAGCTTCGTCAGATGGAGTATTCTTGCCCCTCCTTTCCGGTCCGAAAAGTTTCCGCTTAAAAATCTGCTGACGGTCTTACGAGGGTTCCCTTGTAGGTAACGTGTTATTTTTTTCTTGCTGCTTTTGAGATTCTCTCCTTGTCTTTAACTTTGACAATTTAATTAGAATGTGTCTCACTGTGGGTATGTCTTTTAAATTATAGCCTTTCTAGTGGGTGTGAAGTGGTACTTCATGTGGTTTTAATTTGCATTTCCCCAATGATTAATGATGTTAAGCATCTTTTCATGAACTTATTAGCGATTCATATATCTTCTTTAGTGAAACATATATTCACATGTTTTGCCTGTTTTTAAATTGGATTGTTTTTCTTTTTACTACTGAACTGTAAGAGTTTTTTGTGTGTTCTGGATACAAGTTTTTTATTTATTTTTTAATCTGACCTATTATTTGCAAATATTTTCTCACAGTCTGCAATTTATCTTTTCATTTCCTTAATGGTGCCTTTAAAACACAAAAGCTTTTAATTTTGATGAAGTCCAATTTATCAATTTTTTAATATATTGTGCTTTTTGTGTTATATCCAAGAAATTTTTGTTTAAGCCAAGTTCACAAAGATTTTTTTTCCTATGTAGTCTTCTGAAAGTTTTATAGTTTTCAACTTTACATCTAGGTCTCTGGTCCATTTTATGTTCATTTTTTGATTTGGTATGAGGTAAGGATCTAAATTTACCTTTTGGTATCCAACATCTTTAAAAAAGGAGAACAGTAACTATTACATTTTTTTCATAATAATTGGGATTTATGATACCATGTTTCTTCTTTAAATTATTTAAATTACCTGATAATTTCTCATTAATTAATTTTTTTTATTCCACTTTTGTCTGTCTTCTTTAGGACAAATATTAGAGGTAAAAAAAAAAAAAAAAGTGGCCTTATCTGTGCTTTCCACTGCTATATCCTCAACGTCTTGCAGGTGGTAAGTACTCAATAAATATTTGATGAGTGAATGAATGAATGAATGAATGAATGAAAGGCCAGGGCAGTAAACCGGTGGGGAAAATCAAGAGTCATTTATTGTCCCGGTGAGTGAGGGAGGAGCACGGAGCAAAGGCTATTGAGCAGGAACCAGCAGGCAGTGAGCACGGCGGGGAGGCGAGGGCTCCCCTTGCGCGGGGAGGCCCCTTCCGTGCCACTCCGACCCGGGACCTGCGCCTGCACCGGCGAATGAGCTGACAAAGGGCCTTTTGTCCACCCCAAGCACAGCCTCTGAGGGGAACTTCATACAGTAGTTAAGGACATAAACTTTACACTACATATTATTCATTTCTTCAAAAAATATATTTGTGTCCCTTGCCATGTACTAGGCACTTTGCTGAAAATTCGAGGATTCAGTGGGAGACGAGGCAGCTGTTTAGTGTACCCCGAAGTCGTGGCCAGTTCCCAAGCGCTTCCTGACCAGCTGCGTGACCTTGTGAATAATATATAACCTCTCTGAGCCTGTTTCCTCATTCATAAACTGAGGATTCTAAAGTAACCACCTCATTAGATTTTGATAGGGATTAAGTCATCATATAAAGCAAAGACAATTGCTGTGGCATACAGGAAGTGTTCGAAGTGGCATTATGACAAGTTGCTCAACCTCCCAGGTAAGACAGGATTATTCAGTATCATTCAGTCTTAACTTCCGTTTAGTATCTTACCAACAGTTCTCGGAGAATCGCTAAGGGACAGGAAATAAATATTCCTTTTAAAAACATATATAAACTTGCTTTTTATAAAGGCAATTCACGCACTGGAGCGAAAAGAAACTCAAACAGCACCGAAGCATGTACAGTGAAAGGTCGACACAGCCCTTGGCTCAGAAGGAATTGCTATAAACGACTCTCCGTCCCCCCTCCCGGCAAAGCCTCCTGTGTGTGGCAGTGTATGTGTGCACGCACATCCTCAGAAACGAGCAGCCAGCGGGGCCAGATGCTCCTGATGGCTCATCCCTAACATTGGCACTTGCTGGTATATTCTGGATCGAGAGCAGCATATACTGTTCCTATTCAGAATGAGTATTTCTTAACATTCTCAGCACGATTTTCTTTTTAAAGCTCCCTTAAGCTTTTTGAGAAAGTCCGTGGGCTACACCCTCCTCCCCTCCACCCCCGCAACTCCCCAGTCGCGGCCCCCACAGCTCTGAGCAGAGACTCCCCAGTTGCGGCCCACTCAGGTTTTCTGGGCCTGTGGCCTGTGGTCAAACCAGCAGCAGAGGGTGAGAGTGTGGGTGGGGGAAGCAAAAGAGGAAGAGAAAACAAATTTTCCATGAGTAGCTGAGAAAGAGCAGAAGGAGCAAAATCAAACGGACACGGGGCGCTAGCTCCCCAAAGTGTTTTACTGCGTGTATTTAAGTGAGAGGCGTCAGGAAGAGGGCTCTACAGGGTGTAAAGGGCAGTGGGCACGGGGACACCCGGCTCTTACAGTGGTAGCGGCAGCTGCGCATGAAAGCATAACCTGTGGGTGTCGGGGGGAGGGGAGAGGAGAGGGGGCGCAGGAGGGGAGCGGGGGAGGGAGAGCGACCCCCTTAGAGAAGTGAAAGAGCAAGGTAGCCAGATCTGGCTCAGATCAGGCGGAGGAAGGTGGGGGGCCCCCCGCTCTGCCCCACTCACAACCAGACTCACTTCCTGTTCCACCTGCTGGGTCTCCCACCTCAGCTGCTCTGAGCCCAGCTGCCTGGCTTCACCTCCGTGGGGGCGGGGGTGCTAGAGCTCAGCCCCCAGCCGACCCGGATGACGGATGTCTTCCCACTGGATCACAAATGATTCCGCACGGTGGACGCTACAGCAAGTAAAATCTGAAACAGATTCTGATACTCTCGGGGGATGGAGAGACACGTCTTCGGTCTCCACCTTCCTTATTGTTGACTCGTTTAATCTCCATCTGCATTGTTTCTACCTCCACTAGGCCACAAAATCTGATTCTAGAATGGCTCGGAGCTTCTAAACTAGGCTGGTAGAAGGGCCAGTGCCTCAGCCCACAGGCCTGGCTCAGAGCCCACACCCCAGAAAGCAAAATCTCTTCTTGGGTGGGGCTTTCCTAGACATAAAGCTTTACCATGCCTCTAAGCAGGGGAAGCTTGAGCCAAAATTATATTGGGCAGGTAATAAAATTAAGGGCAATAAAACCAGATAAACCGCCTCATTAGCAGCGTTTACTGGTGAAGCTGTTCCGACGGGGAGGCAAAGTGGAGATTTAGGGCCCGGACTGCAGAGTTCTTTTGGATGGTCTCCCTTGCAAAGGGAGCGTGCCTCTCAGTTTAGAGCGAAACACGCATTTATCCGGCACTCGTGAGAGCCAGCAGCTGCTCAGAGAGGAGTGTCTGGGGCCTGGACCCCTCGCTCTGCTGCTCTGAAAGGTCACTGTGGGGCACGCGGCCTCTCAGAATCTCTTTCTCAGCCACGGAGTCGAGAGAGCGGAGTTCCAGGCCGTCTGTTCAGACTCAACAGATAGTTCGGCATTGATTTGCACACTAAAAACCAACTTGTTTTGTAAAGACAAAACCATTTCTTAGCCGTAGACATCATGGTGATATTATGTTGCTTTTAAGGGATAATCAGGAAAGAAAAACAAGAAAAGTCAATCGGATTCTCAAAACGGCCTGACACGCACATCCATGTACACTCACATGCCTACATGAACGCACACCTACGCACATGTACGGGTAAAATAACTAAATTAAAGTACACCTCTAATTAAGCATTAGCAAATTTTTTTTCTATAAACTAATACTTGCCCTTTTCCATTTTATTTCTACACAGTCCAAACTCCTCCAAAGTATCACTTGGTGATTTGCTTTCTCAATATTAACTACGATGTCTTCCTGACCCTTGTAAACTACATTTTCTAGCCAAGAAGAGGCACGAAAAAGATCTGTGGCTGGGTTACTCTTTGCGGTAATGCGGGCATTGTCCCCTTAGGACACAGTGGGCTGGCGAAGCGCTGATCTGTCAAACAGTCGGGACCCAGGCTCACCTCCGGCCAGCATGAGGGACTCACCTGGGAAGGACCAGTCAGATGTACTAACTCCCACCTGTGTCAGAATCCTAGGTACCGGGGAATATTCCTACCCTTCCCCCTTTCCTTCCCGCCTGCACCCGATCAATCACCGCCCTCGGTCATCTGCTTCCTTCCTCCTCCTAAACGCCACTCCACCTGTCCCCTCCTTCCTAGGCCGGGCGGGCTGGGTCGTTCCAGAGTCCTCCAAGCGGGCTCCGTGCATCCACTTCCGCCCGCTGCAGTCCAGTCCCCGCACTGTGGGCGGGTGGGCCGAGTCCCTCATCTCCTTCCCAGGCTCCAGTCACTTCGTTTCTGCTCTTAGCTGTTAGACCAGAGTCCACTGTGGCCTGGAGGCCGTGGACGAGCCGGCCACGGGCGAGCCGGCCGCTGCTCACCGCCCCGGTCTCCTCCGTGTCACACGTCACTAGTTCCCCGATCTCCACACTGCTCTGACCCCCGCAGGGCTCCTCACGGCTCAAGAGATCGGGGACGGGGAAGGTCCAGGTCCCCGAATTTCTCCCAAAGGCTCTGAGGGGGTCAGACCCACCGCTCTGGCTGAAGGCCGATTTGAAATGCACATCCCAGCTGCCTACGGCGAATCTGGGCCTGTTGGCATCTCGGTGGGACTCAGGCCGGGCAGACCTTCCAGAAGAGCAGGCTGCTGCTGGTCCTTCTGCCACCCCGAAAGGGCGCGAGAGCGACCTCCGTACAGTCCGCCGGCCGGGTGCGTGTCTTCTTTCCGGATGATCTAAACCTGGCGAGAACACGCGGCGGGGAGGCTGCGAACGCGCCCACGGAGGCGCTGCGGGGTCGTCGTCCCAGACGGAGCGGCGGTCGGCCCTTCGCGGGAGGGACGGGGCTTCGCGTTTGCAGACTCGGGTTGCTTCTGCGGGAGCGGAGCGCGTTAGGCGGCTCTGGGTGCGCCACGGGTCCCATCATGCTCCAGAAGCGGCGCCACCAGGAGGGCAAAGCCCGATGCAACGGGCGGGTACCGCCCCCTCGGGCCCAGTTCCGCGCGGACAGATTCCAGCGTGTCGGTCAAGTCCACTTCTCTGCAGCTGTCCCCTACACCGCGTTTTGAAAGCAGGATTGATTTTATTTATAGCACACACTGAGTCCTCAGCCAGCTGTGGGAGGGTACGGCTACGTTCAGATTCCCATCTGAGTTGTGCGTGACAGTATCTGGCTCCCTTTCAACAACTGCAGTCATTACTTGGAGAGTAACCACAAAGGGAAATAAATCAACTTTTAATGTCAGGACATCTCACCCTCTCTAACACTTTCTGGATATGAATGAGGCCGTAATTGTATAATTAACCTCGATCTTATTGCTCCAAAGGCAGATGACTACTTGACCAAAAGATGCTATTTATAACACACACACACACACACACACACACACACACGCGCGCGCGCGCGCGCGCACACACACGAATTCATTTGCCAGAAAAGAAAACTTTCCAGACTAGGCAAAAATATCTTCTTTAAAAAATGATGATTTTATGTAAGCAATATATGTCAAAGTTCCCAAAGTCAAAATGTTCAAAAGAACGTACAATGACGAACTGATCCAGCGCCTAAGTCTCTCCTCCAGCCATCTATTACACAGTAACCAGGGTTTATTTACCTGTCCAGAGAAACGTCATGTGTTTTACACACACACATGCACACGCACGCGCGTGCACACACACACACGCCGATTGCCCCACGTCGGTACATAGAGACGGACCTGATTTAAGTGTTAACGGCTGTGCCCCGATGCCCTTCTCGACCGTCAAGACCTTTTATGGCACCTCGGTGCTCAAGTATGACGCCGAGAAGCCTCCATAACCACGTCCGAAGCGGCAACTGTTCTTTGACCTCAACGCTCCCTACAGTTCAACTGACCCACTGCGCTCCTGAGTGGAGCTCTAATCCCTGCTCTTTGGTGAACTTGCTGCAGACCAGTGATCTTGCCCTTCTGGCCCTTGGTCTTCTCCCTGATGAACTGGGGTGGACCCCGTCTCCGAGGTCCTTTGCAGCTCTCACATTCTGTGAATCTGTCACTAGATGAGGTCAAAGGGCCTTTCCAACTCTACACTTTGATCCGCAATTTAGACTTTCATGGGTTTGGTTGTGTTTCCTAAACTGCCTGTAAACTCCTTAAGAGTGAGACTGTCTCTGCATTTCCCAGAATGCCCTGCCAGAACAGCCGCTCCAGAGACGTGTGTTGATTTTCTGGGTTATCGCTTAAAATGCTGCGCATTGGTACATGCTCCAATCCGTTCGCTCGAAATGGGTCAGTTACCCCGGTTCCTTTATTTTAGGACGGGCAACGGGAGTTACGATGCTGGGGCTCTACCCGTGGGAGCCATTTCTGATTTCAGCAGCAGGTCCTCAGCAACGCCTCTCACTTACGCGCTCTGTGCACTCCAGGCAGCATAGAGATAACTTTATGAGTAACTGGAAGGGTGAAAGTATAGATTATTAGAAGTAAAGGGGATTTGGGGGAATGACAGAATTCAAACTGTTTGTCTTATCGATGTGAAAAATGAAGGCCGAGAATGAAAGAAATTGGTCTAAGGATTGTGACTCGGCGGGTGACAGGTAGAACCAGGGTCTGACTCTTGTTCTAGAGGGAAATAAAGGGGAACTAGACCCTTTACAAGGTGTTCGTTACATGCCGTCATGAACTGGAACTTGCTACTCCATGAAACCATGTGCCCTTAGTTCATTCGTACGATAGTGGGTTTGACTTTTACTATGCTTTCCTATCTGAAACATTAGATGAATAAATGTACTTACCTTATAAGGTGACAGAAAGTCAGCATGAGGGAGTTGGATTTACATACCGGGTTTTGTTACAAGAAGGCCCACCTCGATATGACGCAAGCTAATGTCATAGCCACTTGTCGACTTCGTCTTAAAAGAGGAGAATTAGCCCTGATTTTTGCCTGTCTTTCAGTGATTAGGAAAATTTCATTCATGTATATGTATCTTCACGAAGTTTGCCAAATCTGCATACCATCTCTATTATTATTTACTTATTGTTTTTATTTAGACTCCTTATTCAAATAATTTATGTAAAATTATATTACCATGTAGAACTCTCTAAATATAAAAAACGTTTGTTCATATACCACTTAAGAAACAGTGGTATAATAAAACGCATTTGACTTGAAGGATCAGAAGGTGTGGGTCCAAATCCTAGCTTTGCTCTTTGCTGATCATACAATTTTGAGCAAGTTATCTTGGTTTCTTTATAGAATGATGACCATGATTTATAACCCATAGTGTTCTTATGGCGATAAGTAGGATCATTTATAGCACTGTGAAAAATTTAAAACTCAGTGTGCATTGTTAGCTTTGGTTGTTAAATAAAGGGAAAATTCATTTACTAAGAGAGCAGGTGGTATTGTTTTAGCAGTGAAGCTTATTTCCCAGGGTGGGAGGGTGGAGAAAGCGTCTAT